TACTCCACCATTATGCTATCAAACTGAGAATATAAAGTCAATATTAAGCAATGTGTTAATTATTGGACCAGTGGGGCAATAAATAAATATCAGGCAAAGTTTTACAATTAACAGCTATTCAGTTTCCATCTTGTCTACAGTTTCATGAGCCTTATTAATATGGATGACATTTCACTTTTAATCAGGTTTAATCAATAAACTTCTGAGGATGGTGAAATGGGGTAACTGTCTAAATACAGCTAAGTTTCATAACCGTGAGTCTGGAGAAGTGCTCTGAAGTTTAAATCTTATCTGGAAATTGTGGTTTCTGTGGTTCATTTAGTTTGTTATAGGATCTGAAGATAGTGACAACTGGCCACGTCAAACGGTTCCTAGGAACAGTATCATGGACTTGCATCTGACTTCTTCAATTGTAGATAATTAAATAATCAAAAACTAATTTCTAATTTCTGAAATGTATTCATTAAGTGTGAGACAAGACAAATGGTTCAAATAAAGAAATGAAGGAGAGAAGGAAACATATTTAGTACACGTGCTGTAGCACCAGATCTAAAAATCAATATTTTTTTACATTACTTACTGATAAAAAAGCGTAAACCAGCCAGATCCAATCTACCAACTTCTCACCAACAAGTGAGAAGTCAAATGAGCATTTATTAGATAAAAAAAAAAACTGGATGATTGGTTGGTTGCTGCTAATAGACTTAAATTAGTTTATGTATTATTTTATGACAACGCACAGACGTCCGAGCTCCATGTTGTTGTTAAGCTTAATGTAGGGATGCTTTACAAACATTCAGAGATCAACTTACACACTTGCTTTACTTCTCTGGGACTGCTTGCTCAGAGATGAAATGCCGGTTTGGCAGCACGTCCAGATGAACAGCTTTTTGGGTTTGACAGTAGTTACTGTAATTCTCTGATTAAAATGAGGAGACAATAGTTCACAATTTAGAAATGTTCCTTAAATGAAGAGAGGAGTCAGCTCTTATGCTGAGATAATGAACAGTGGATGGACAAAACAAAGTAATCACTTGACTGATTCTTGAATGTATATCGGGAGGAGCTATTATCACCTTTCGCCTTGGTGTTACAGGAGTTAAAGCAAAGAAATTATTGGAGCGCCAGCCACAAATCTCAAATAAACAATCAACTAAGGTCTGGCTTAAAAGACATAAACAGCGGAATATCATCAGCATAGAAATAAGAAACACCGGAAAAGAATGGAATAATGCTGAAGGTAGCATGTAAAAGAAAAATAAGAATAGACCAAGGACTGAACTTTGTGGAACACCACAGGTTAGAGAAGCAGTGCTAGAGAACGTGTTCACCCTAACAGAGAATCTTCTTTCAGAAAAATAGGAGGAAAACCAGGCTAGCGCTTAACCAGTGATGCCAGACAAAACCTTGAGGCTATAAAGCAAAATATTTTGGTGTAACGGTATTAATGGTAACATTATATCATTGATGTACCTGTTGATTCTGTGAAATGTTCAAATTAATTGTGTGGGGGTTTTTTATGATCGCAATTTAAAAACACACACAATCACACAATGTATTACCTATGAGACAGTGTGATAAAAAAAAAAACAACCCACTGCTATATTTTATTTGAAAATGTAAGAGAAGCAAAGTGATTTTTACTTCTTCAAATATGTAAATAAATAAGCCACAAAGGGCTCGTTTGACAAAGAACAAATCAAGAGTGTGGCCTTAATGCCTTTTTAGGCAGGTTTCTTAGGCTTAAAATACATTTAATTTGGTTAAAAATGAAGGACTAAATTACCAATTTTTGATAAAGATTTCTTAAATTAAGATTAAGATTTAGTGATGTGAGATTTAGAAGTTCCTGTAAAAACATGACACTTTGAGAGAATTGCAGTACAAACAATGAGACACACAGAAGGAAATATATCTTTACTACAGCTTTATTAGAAAGTAGGAAAAGTATGAAGTGATAGCTCAGCCGATTAAACATCATAAAAGCATAAAACATTGTCATCTTGATTAGCTTATGTGGACTGATGCCTGATGACTTTTAAGACTTCATTGTTTCTTTGATCCACTTGAGTTGTCTCTTTGAGAGAAACGAGTAGATTCCGGGCTTGTAAATGTTCCCACAACCTGCTCCAAAAGAAGTAACTCCAACCAGATGAAAGCCGCACAGCAGTGGGCCTCCGGAATCCCCCTGCAGCAAGTACATATGCACTGTAGACCTTTTTTCTCACTTACAGGTGTCAAAACATCAAAATGGTGCTGAGGTCGATGATTACATGCTCATATACATTCTTAATACTTACTTGACAGGTATCCGCTGCTTTTTTGCCATTTGAACCGGCACATACCATGTCACTAGTGATTAAAGGTGCGTAGTTGTAATATTCACAAGAGTTACACTTATGTCTGCCGATCACAGTCACGCGGACAGACTTGAGAACATCCGAGATGTGGTTCTCTTCAGTTACTCCCCATCCAGCAACCAGACACTTGGTGCCATCTGGAGGGTCTTTGACAATTTTGCCCAATTGGAGCCATTTTACTGACTTGGTTGTATTTACTGGTTCCTTAAGCTGAGAAAGAGTTGAAAAGAAATGTTACATTTTGACAGTGACTATCTATATGTTACAGATTTGGCTTTAAAGTAAGTATATCTGTGATACTGTTATAAAGTCTGGGTCACTATAATAATTCATATATTTTGTTTGGAAAATGGGAAATAGGTGCAGTGAATTATTGAAACATGTCTAAACATACCCAGAAATGCACTTTATCAGGTGGAAACAAACTTATTTTCATTGTTGTATCTTTGCTTGACCAGCTACTGGACACTGAATTTTCAGCTTACCTTGAGCAGCATGAGGTCATTGCCCACAATATGATTGAAATAGTTAGGATGAGCAAAATGTTTCTGAACCTCTCGGACCTGCCTCGACTCTTCTTCCTCTTTGACGATGGAGTGCGCTCCCAGGATCGCCTTGCTCATTCTGCAAAAGAAAAACTCAGTGTAGTGATGACACTTCACTTACATGAAAAGGTCAGGAGTGTGTAAAACTGTTCAAATCATAGTTGTGTATTATTACATACGCCTGGGCTATGGCTGTTACTGAGCCTGAGATGGACCTGCATGACACTTTCCTCCAACTGAGTAACAAACTTCAACATTATTAAATGTTATAGATGAAAATTTATTTTTCTCTACTTGAAGGAGGGCAGGATGTAATCAGTTCTTTGTGTTTGTTTGTCTGTTTGCTAGTTTTGAAGTGTTGTGTGATGTCAGATACCAATAACAACTCAAGCTGATTTCATGTTGGTGAAAATCAGGTCAAAGCCACATCAAACTTTAAATTGCCCACAATTGTTTATGGATCATCTTCAAACGTCTTAGGGGACATGAGTACCTAGTTTGGCTATGCATTTGACCTTGACCTTCACTGTTAGCACCCAAGGTCAAAGCATGGAGAGAGAGCTGTACAACACACTTATTATTTTTTCACTACAAGATCCTATGACATCACGATGAGTAAAAACAACTGTAGTATGTAATTTTCAAGGTCAAAGGTTTAAAGGTCGTGTTCTTATAAAAGCATGAAACATTTTAGTGCAGCCCCTGCCTGTCAGGAGGAGTTATGCTGTGAGTAAGAAAAAATATCAGTTAGCATTACACTTCACATCTCCTGTTAAAAATAAATACTGCAATATTTTGATTTGGAAATTTAGGAAAAGTGAACCTCAGATTCTTACCCAGTGCAGTGAGCAGCTGTCAGGACCCATTGTGGGTGGATTAATGTCCCCCCACACATAGATTTCTTACTTGTCAAA